GGGGGGGGGCACAGGGGGGACTTTGGATAGATCTAATGGACAGTTACTTTTTCCAAATCCGGATGCCCCAGGTGACCCCACTCTTAAAGATGTGTTGTTGGCAGTACAAGCCTGTAATGTGACTTTGGCATCCATGGCAGAGCAAATACAAGCTATGCGGATACATCTTTTCTCAGACAAGACATGCAAAAGAATAGAGAGAGTCTGACGGAGGCAGAGGACAGAATTAATAAGTTGGAGGATGCAAATCTCTCTATCTCTCTTAAAATGGCTTTGCAAAAAGGTAATGTTAATTCCCGTAAAGTTGAAGAACTGGAAAACAGAGCAAGACGCAATATCAGAATGGTGGGAATACCAGAACAAACCGAGGGGTTAAATCCAGTGGCGTTTATGGAAAAATTGATATTAGAGACAATAATATCTTTCTCCTATGTTTATGATTGAGGGAGTGTATAGAATACCTGCACACACTCATGTACATGGGAACTCACCAAGGACTATGCTGATTAGATTGGCTAACAATAGAGATAAGGAGACAATCCTCCGTAAGGCTCATATCTATTGCATGTGCGAGAGTCATGAATGTAGATGAATATAATTACTAATTACTAAAAATCTCCTTTAGCAGTCTCGGCTTGGTTGGACAAATATCCTGAGAGTGGTATAAGAGGTCTGAAGTTTTGAGGAGCACTAGTGGTCTTGAGGATATTTAGTATTAAAGTATTAAATACACCAAGCTGAGACCTGGACTGTAAGATTAATGTATGGATGAAGAAAATGCTTCTAATCCCCTATTTGGCTCCTGTGTGGAGTATACTTATGTTGGAGTTTAGTGTAGTTGGTTTGTGGTTTTTCTTGTTACAATTTTTTTTTTCCTTCTCATAGTACCAAATTTTTACTTACCATATTGGAAGGGCATGCCCAATGGTTGGACAGAAGGAAACCGCATTATATAGTAGTATGTTCTGGATATAAAAACTAAATGTTAATGGATAAGCAAAAAAAAAAAATCAATAATATCTTGGAATGTTAGGGGTCTGAGGAACAAGACAAAGCGATGTGCGATACTATCCAGCATTACGTCTCAAACGTCAATTATTTGCCTACAGGAAACGCATATGAAGGGAGATCATGACGGATGGCTGGAGCGCAAATTTATGCAATATACAGCCCATGCATGTTACTCTGCCTACTCTAGAGGTGTATCAATATTAGTCTGTAAATGTAAAGCTTTTTTGTGTATACAAGTATTGTGTAATAAAGAGGGTAGAAATTTATGATGTGGAATGCATGCTGGTAAATATATATATTCATCCTCCCTACTCCAAAGAAGTCCTCCGGAAGTTGATATTTATTAAGGATAAATTGCCTATGTTATTGTGATGGGGGATTTAAATAGTTATATGAATATGGCACTAGATAAATTCCCGGGAAGTAAACACTTAGATTCCACTAAAAATACCTTTATCATTTTTGCAAAGAAATTGGGTTAGGGATGTGTGGCGGATGTTGCACCCAAAGGAACACCAATATACATGTTTTTCGAAGACACATAACACATTATCTAGAATAGATTTAATCCTATGTTTGGTTGATGTAATGCCACTAATTAAATTGGTTGAGATACAACCTAGATCACTCACCAATAATTACTATAATTGAAACTGGGGGAAGGTTTAAGCTACCTTGCAAATTAAATCCGGGATGGCTAACTATATTGTCAGAACAGGAGAAATTAGAAAGTGAGATATTATTGTTTTGAGCACAAATAATAAATCTGCACCACATGGGAATGTATGGGATTCTTTAAAAGCATATATGGGGGGATGTTTATGTCAGCAGATTAATAGGACTAGGAGGCAATGGAATAGGGAGGAGGAAGAGGCATGTAAAGAAGTAACTTGTTTAGAGAGAGAAACAGTTTGTGTTAAATACCAACGAAAAAGGTTTGCAATGACTGGACTGCAGCACAAGAACAACTGATGCATATTGAAAGTAAGAAAGCTAGGAATAAATTATTTTTTAGCAATCAGAAATACTGGGAAGGGGAGAATACTGGAAGACTGTTGGCACAGTTGGTGAGGGCGCAAGAACAAGTACCATTTGTAAATATGTTGAAGGATATGGATGACCAACTGTGCAGTGAGTCCGATAAAATTATTTCAATCTTTAAACAGTATTACGAAAGGGTTTATACTGCTAGGGCAACATATAGTAGTGAAGATCTAGTGAGATTTATAGGAAATATTCAATTTAATACGCTATCTCAGGTTGATAAAGATAGTTTTGAGACTCCTCTTACTATCCAAGAGTTGGAAGCAGCGGTGGTTAGCATTCCAAATGGGAAAGCCCCAAACTTGGATGGTCTACCATAGGGCTGCAACTAACGATTATTTTCATAATCGATTAGTTAGCCGATTATTAAGTTCGATTAATCGGATAAAAAAAAAAAAAAGCTCCAGTGATGGACTACTAGTTTCTATTGAGATTGTAGTACATCACGGGAGCAAGCTTGGCGCGGTGGAAGTAAAAAAAAGCGGGCAGCGGCGAGTCGGGAAGCTCACCGGGAGGAGAGGGCCAGACACATGTCCTCAGCATGGGCGTGGCGTAAGCGGCGTTGCGTGAGCGGTATACCAGCGTAGGTGCGAGCGGCTTAACCGACGCGGGCGTGAGCGGGAAATTTGAATTTTAGCCGACGAATCGACGATGGAAAACGTTGACAGCGTTTTCCATCGTCGATTTTTATCGACTTAATCGAATAATTGTTGCAGCTCTACTTCTAACATGAGTATACTTTTACTCTCTGGCTATCCATTTAAAATTCAATCAATCAGGGTAAAAAATAATACTTTTGAGTAAAAGTCTTCAATGTGGAATTTCTAAAATTGCAGTTTTGCATCCCTTACAGACTCTGGTGGTATAATAGCCTGGGCACAATTTCTGGCTTTTCCCATCTCTT